AACATAGATGCATTTAGGAAGATCGGGGATTGGCGCATTCTCTTCAAAAACTAAAGTAACGTTAATCCACTGCGTCTTCAGCAGCTCAGATGTTGGGAGTAAATGGCGACTGCTATGTTCGGACCCACTTTATATTAAGTGGCCTTCACAACTATGTACTTACATTTAAATGAATAATTTGGTACAATGCACTTATTGTGTACATACATGTTTTTACATTGTACTTATATTTTAAAAATACCTGCATGTAATTACATCTGTAATTAAGGCCACTTAATATAAAGTGGGGCCCTATGTTCATTATTACATCCAACAACAAAACACCTCAATTGCTTAATCGGAGACATTCTTGTCTTCCCCTGCACCGGAGTCGACACAATGGCGGACAGCTCTCAGCTCACTCAGGGCGGGTCTAAGGTAAAATGGCCTTGTCAATCAACTATCGTGGGAGTGGCCTGTTCAGAACTACGTCATACTGACAGGAATCTCAGAACAGCCTGATTTGAGAAAGGGGATTTTAAAATAGGGATTAAAAAAAACACTTTTATCATTATAGGGTGGATGCACACACTTCCAACACACATTTATGTTCAAACAACATGTAAAGTGAATTTTGCATCCGATGACCCTTTTAAATACACTGAACTGTATTCATGTTAATGGATATTTTTTCTAAAAGGTTCATAATGAGTATATATATGAATGTAAATTAAAGCTTAAACTTTAGCCATTTCTTTTATTAAGATGACCAAAACAAGGAAAACACTCCAAAGCATCCCTAAATGACCTAAATGAATCATCTGTAGGCAGTGGACCCTATTTCTTCTGGCATGCAGACTGTGAATATCAGTCATGGTGAAAAAAGCTAAAAGCTTAATTTTTTTATTATTATTATTTTGCCTTGTTGATCCCTTCACAGTGTACATACATTATAGTAGGCTATGAAAAGAGGGAACAACCTCTGATTCAGTTGAGAGTGTATTAATTGAATTTTTAATTATACACTGTTAAAAAAAATTTAAATTTACAGTACAAGAACGGCAGTGGTTGCCAGACCTTTACTCTAAAATACGGTAGTAGCATTTTAAGTTTTACAGATTAATAAAAAAATATTTTAGTACATTAACAATTATTATATGCAAAAAAATTAATGTTACTATTAATGTACCTTCATAATCAGACAAGCACCTTCAAAACACAGGTGCAATAAACACTAGATTAAGTACCTAAAACCCTAATGTAAATAACTTGCCATATGAAGAAACCATCAAATGTGAAGTGTCATAGAGAATTCTGGGAATGTCAATTTTCAGATTTTTTTACTGGAAATTATAAGTTTAACTTGTGAACTTGTAAACTGTCATATTCAATCTATTACAGTTTTTTCACCATAAAGGAAGGAAACTACCATTAACCATTTAACAGGTTTTTTTAGTGTAGCATTTTTACAGTTTTACCATTAAAATTATGATTTTCTATTTACCATTAGAATTATGATCTCATTCATTTGATTCCCATCCCATTTGATTAATTTCTGTGCATGGGAAACACTCAAATACTCTGTTCTACAACTCAGACAAGAGGAGTGATACAAACAGTAAAACATTCCAGTGCTGTTATTCTACACTAATAACTAATGGTACTAATGGTTTTCTAATCACTATGAGATTCCAACTTGTAAACACAACCTAAAACTCATAATTTACAATTTGTAAAGTCGGAATGTTTGAAAAGCTCTGATTTCTCAACTCATAATTACAGTAATTCCAATAAGATGTGAATGCACCATAAATATCAGCACTTTTGGAATGTCGCTCAGCCAGTCAAATTTGGGAATGGAACTACCTGTTGTATATTCTCATGCATTGCCCTTTTATTCATTTTTACAGGAGGAGGACTTTCAGGATATGATTACCAGTGCTCAAGCCATGGAGAATAAATATGGCCACTTGTTTGAGAAAGTGATCATCAATGATGACCTGGCCATGGCATTCACTGAACTGAGAGACGAGCTCACAAAGATAGAAACAGAGACTCACTGGATCCCAAATACATGGGCTCATGTCTGAAAAAGCAATTCATGTTCACTGAACCACTTAGACACATGATAAATTTTGACTATATTTTGGAGATTTTCTGCATATAAAAAAGGCACACCATATTATTGTAATTATACGCTTATAAGTAGTGTGTGCTGGCCGGTCATGAATCAACTCCATTCATAACCGCCAAACTCATGACACTGCACTGAATTTGAAATAGTTTTGTTTATGTTGAGAAACAAGTAATTGTAAAGAATTGTTATCTGCCCCTAATTCCTACATAATGATATACATTATGCTGTATTACGAGATTATTTCTATACACATATTGCTTTGTGCACTGTTGTGGCTCATGTTTTCATATTAATCACTTACAGACGTGGATTTTCCATTGAAAAGATGTGTTCTCAATTTGGTTTAAGTGAGGTAGACCACTACAGTTTCTTTTTTTTTCATAAATTGTGACTACAAGATTGAACTCTGGATTAGACCTCTGAAACACATCCAGGTAGCTCTATGTACCGAACAATTCCAATCCAAGTTTAGATTTGTTCCTGACATTGAACTCCAGGCTTTAAAGTGATTTTAATGCCTTAGTGTTCTTGAAGAACATTAACATTTGCAGGTATACAAGGTGATCCACGATTCAACCTCTCAAAAGAATCAATCCAAAGCACCTCAGCTGTTTTTTTAAAGATTTAAAACTAACAAAGTTTTAAATGCAATTCCTCCCAAACATTGCATTTAGAAAGGTGAGCTGACATTGAAGTTAAGAGGAAGACGCTTGCTCAAGGTGACCTTAGTTGTTCCTGCAGAAGCCAGGAGAGGAAGTGGAGTTTATTTTCACCAGCACTCAGTATATTAAAGTGGAATTAAAGAGTAACGGGAGAGTTCCTGGGGTTACATTGGATGGTTGCCTGGTCAGCATGAGGGACAGAACTCCACACATACCTGCCCATACCTTTCTATGAAGCCAGAATGAAATGAAGCTTTAGTGACGTGACATGTGGCCAAGTATGGTTACCCATACTAGTGCTCTGCATTTATCCCATCCTAAGTGCACACACGCACAGCAGTGAACACACACACACCGTGAACACACACCCGGAGCAGTGGGCAGCCATTTTTATGCTGCGGCACCCGGGAAGCAGTTGGGGGTTCGGTGCCTTGCTCAAGGGCACCTCAGTCGTGGTATTGAAGGTGGGAGAGCGCGCAATTCAGTCGTGGTATTGAAGGTGGGAGAGAGAGCGCTGTACATTCACTCCCCCCACCTACAATCCCTGCTGAACTTGAGACTCGAACTCGCAACCTTTGGGTTACGAGTCCGACTCTATAACCATTAGGCATTAGGCCACAACTTCCTGGTGACTTTAGATGCAGTGTGTCAGGGTTTTTGATCGAAATTGTGTCAGATTGATAAAAAAATATCAGTATGTTGTGTTGTGTCTTTATTCTAAACTATTCAGCATTTTATGGATTTCATGGATTTTAGGTGATTATAGCCTTTCTCTGCTGCTTTCCACCAATTGTGGTTCTGTTCATATGGTACACATCAACCAAACTTGCTCTCACAATTTGGTTCGGACTCCTGTAAATATCAGGCAAGTTACTTATAGAATGCAGAGTCACTCTCTTTCATAACTCTGCATGAACATATGTATACATTGTGTAAAAAAAAAATAAAAATAAAAAGAACAAAGGAAAGAAACATCCTCCCACTTTCAACTGTTTTTTTTTCTTCCAGCAAACGTCTTAGGCATAAACTGAACAAGTCTCACAGACATTTGACAAACTGAAATGGAATAATGACACATGGTTGCATGTGGTTTGCCGCTGGAAGGAAGATCAGCTGTCCTTCCTGTATCCCTATAGCACGTGTGTTAGGTTTCTTACATTGCGCGCTTCAGTTTGTAGCTCTGGCCGCATCTGCAGTCCTCAATGCCTCCCTGCAGCAGGACTATGGCATGTTCACGCAGGTGAGCAGAGTCCCTGGGCAACTTTTTTCTGGTGTTTTTCAGAATTAGTACAAAGGTCACTTTAATGTCCTAATGTAGCCTAACTGTGACCTTAATTGGCCTTAAACTTTCAGTGTCTAAAGGACTGTTCCAAATGCACATATGCAATATCTGTTTATGTTTCATTGAACATGCATGTAAAATATTGTTTAAACCCTTTTCAATAAATATCTGTCAAGCTTAGGCTACTTGGATTTGGATTTGACAAAACGGTCCTTAAAGTGCCCCTATTATGGATAATGAAAGGTTCATATTTTGGTTTTGGGAGTCCCCAACAACAGGTTGACATGCATGCAAGGTCAAAAACACTTTCATTGTCTTATAGCTAATATGTATTTATTTTTACCTTATTTGCTCAACGACTCCCAAACGATTCGTTTAAAGGGTTCACATGATTCGATTTAAATTTTTCCTTTCTCTTTGGAGTGTTACAAGCTCTTGGTGCATAAAGAAGATCTGTAAAGTTGCAAAGACTAAAGTCTCAAATCCAAAGAGATATTCTTTATAAAAGTTAAGAGTCAACCACGCCTACCTAAAACGGCTCGTTCTAACATGCCTGTTTTGTTGTGAAAGCGAAACTACTTTGTTTGGCCTTCCAAAAAAGGATGATATCCGATTTGTCATGCCTAGAGCTGATCCGTGCTGGTCGCTGAGGAAATACATCAACTTCGCCCTGTGGATCGCCATATCGGCTTTCACCATGGACAAAGCTGAGTCCAGCCCAGGGTCATCACATGGGGTTGCCACAAGCCCGCCGGCCACTCCTTCGTCGAATCCACCGACTGCGCATTTACAACGCTGTTTCAGAACAGTTCAACCCATATATTCAGATGTGTGCAGCACATTTTATGGAGGACTGTTTCCTGGCAGAGTAGACTACAATGCCGGCTGCGGCAGTTCTGACTCAC